TTGATCCCTGGGGCAGGAAGATCCCCTAGAGCAGGGCATGGCAACCCATTCCAGTATTCTTGCCTGGAGAATCCCATGGACATAGAAGCCTGGTGGACAATAGTCCATAGGGTTGCAAAGAATCAGACACTACTGAAATGACTTAGCACGCACGCCCAAAGGATGATAAGGCACTTTCCTAAAAGTTTGTTTTGAAGGCTGAAAAATTCAACCCTTTCCTCAAGTCTTTTTGGATTCAATCTCCTTGATGCCATGAGAAAAGTTCCCTGTGCATCCTCCAGAAATCCCAGTTCTCACAATAAGACTGCAGAGTTAGACTGTGACTTTCAGCTTTGGCGCTTCTGTCAGAGGACTGTGTGACCCTCTCAGGACTGTCAGCAGAGTCATCCACGGCAAAGTCTGCAAACTTATCACTGGGGAAAATGGCATCGCCAGAGTCTCACAGTATTATTTGTGCAGCCTCGAGTACTCTATGGAAGGAGGCAGGATAAAGCTGTAAACCTACACTAGACCATGCTTCTCTAGACTTACACAGGCTTGTTCTCCAGAGGCCGAGAGGGATCAGTGTCAAGGGTGTCAGGGGGTATGCACAAGGAAATAACCTTGATGGGGAAGTGGTTTGTGTTTTCTTGCAATAGAAAGCACCATTTTGCTACAAGTTCTGGAAAGAACATCCGCATTTTCAATTGTTTGAGAAAATGAACTTCCAGTCTTTGTTCCCGTGCATCTCACTCAGTCTTTGTTCTGCCGTTCAGGACCTGCCAGCTCAAGACTCTGCATCCCCAAGAGCAGGGTCATGAACCTAGAAGGAATCTCCTCCATCAGGTTCAGCTGAAAACTTAAATCCATCCACCAAACGAAAGGGCGGTGGTGGGTTCACACACCTATGGCCAAAGTCATTCTAATGGAAACATCTAATGTATAACCTGAAGTCTTCCTTCCAGTGTAGAGAGGGTGATTTCCAACCTTTCAGACTATAACACTCTTCTCCTTCCTTTCACTTTATTACTATGAGACCTATAAGCATTATTGTTTTTATTAACACTGAATTAAAACAGATGGGTTTGACCATTTGAGAATTTCTTGAAATAACAGAAGACCTCTTTGGGTACCCTGGACTAGAACTAAAAGTCCTTGGAGAAGAGGCTCTGGGGTCACATGAACCACGTTTCATCTGATTTCCAGCTGCAGAGACTTGAGCAAGGCATTCAGCCACCCTGAGCCTCAGTTTCCTCATCTGTAAAATGGGGAGAACACCATCTAGCTGGTTGGATTGTTAGTAGCAATAAATTTGATAAACATGAGTCAATTTCTTGGCACATAGTTATATAATAAAGGATAGATTTAACTCAATGTAATAGAGAAGAGCAAACTGACTTCAGATTGGCTGTTTCTTTTACTTTACCCTTTGTGTTCCATTACTTAGAATGTTGCCTTAGCCTGAAATGTACAGGAGAGCCCATTCTGAAGGCTCTCACCTTTCAGGGTAAAACACTTTTCCATTCATATAGAGATTAAAAGTTGCAGAACAGAGAATAACATTTGTCCTGTTGGAGGTTTATAGGAACATTGTGACATGATCCACATGGACAGCTGTAAGAACAAAGAATTCTGACGCCAAGAAATTTGCAAAAACCAACATCACCCCTTCTTCACCTGGTCTTTAATAATGTTTTTCTGGAACGCTTTGGGGGCTTGGCGGGGTTTAGGAACATGAGCCACCAGTCACCTTGTATGGTCCTGCAACAAACACCTCTCTTCTCCAGACTCCAATGTTTCGGTTTGTCTGGCCTCACTGTGCGTCAGGCACCTGAACATGTGTTCAGTAACAGCAATGCATTAATGTCAGAGGGATAGATGCCATAGCAGGCAGTGGAGAAAGCTCTTGGGTGGCCAACAGTTTATTCCTGCGGCATTTTCTCTAATTTAAGTCACTAAAGGATTAGAATTAACACGTATGCGAGGGTAGAGTTAAGCATAGCAGATAGGTGAAAAGAAAGGAGGAGAACAAGTAAACAGAAAGGTACATTCCAAATGAAATTACACAGGTGGAATCCAAGGACAAGGGCTAGGCTTTTGAGCCTTAGTCACCACTGAAGAATAATGGGCTGGGATTCTCTCTCCAGCAGGGGTGGAAGTTCTGATAGGAGAAAAGCTTCATCCCTTCTCCCTGAACAGTCCTGCTCGAACTAGGGTAGTAAGCAAACCCAAATGCCATCACTCCTGGAGCAGTGACTCTGTGAAAAGCCCAGAAATAGGAGGTGGAAAAGCTTAATAATCCAAAACTTGAGCAAAATGCAGTAATTAAGGACCCACAAGGCAGTATTTGGGGGCAAGGTAGGCTACTTGTAACACCAGGCTTTCTAGAATCTTTCTAAAATAACAATGAATACAACCAGCTTACAAGAACTTTCAACCAACATGGCCACCCAAAATGCCAAACAGAAATCTATCCAATTCAGAAGCATGAAATACATAAGTTGGTGATTAAATGAAGTGGAGACATTTTCTGAACCACATACTGAACTTAGCCTAGCTTTTTATTTGCCTAGGCCTGAAGCCAATTCTAAGTGGGTTTACATATAAAAACTTTAAGATGTAGATTCTAGTGAACCAGGACAGAATCAATTTTATAAAACTGGACAAGGTACTAATTGGAATATCGCATTACCCTTAGAATCAAATATAGAACAAACTGTAGCTTGGGAATTTAACTCAATTTAGACTAAAACAAAGAAAATAGGGCTTCCCTGGTGGTTCAGTGTTAAAGACTCTGCCTACTAATGCAGGAGACACAGGTTCGATTCTGGAGAAGGCAATGGCAACCCACTCCAGTACTCTTGCCTGGAAAATCCCATGGGCAGAGAAGCCTGGTAGGCTATAGTCCATGGGGTCTCGAAGAGTCGGACGTGACTGAGCAATTTCACTTTCACTTTTCACTGTCATGCTTTGGAGAAGGAGATGGCAACCCACTCCAGTATTCTTGCCTGGAGAATCCCAGGGACAGAGGAGCCTGGTGGGCTGCTGTCTATGCGGTCACACAGAGTCGGACACAACTGAAGTGACTTAGCAGCAGCAGCAGCAGCAGCAGTTTCAATTCCTGGTCTGGGAAGATCCCACATGCCACGGAGCAGCTAAGCCTACATGTCACAACTATTGAGCCTATGCTTTAGAGCCCTGGAACCACAACAATTGAGCCCCTGCACTGCAACTACTGAAGCCCACGAGCCCTAGAGCCTGTGCTCTGCAAGAAGAGAAGACACCACATGGGAAAACTGAGTCACAACCAGAGAGTAGCCCCCGCTCTTCACAACTAGAGAAAAGCCAATGCAGCAAGGAAGGCCCACCACAGCCAAAAAATATATAAATAAAATGAAGGAAATAAAGCATTTGCATTTAGCCAACAGCGATGATGATGGTGATGACGATAATGATACTGTTACAGAACCAAACTTGGATCCACTTCCTGTGCACACTGAAGTCAACCTACTGACAATGGGTTGTAGTGAAGGAAAGTGCATTGTTAATGCAGGTCCAAGCAAGGAGTCCAGGACAGCTAGTGCTTAAAAGATGCAAGCTTGCCAGAGGGCTTCAGGGAAAGGTTTATAAAGACAGGATGAGGAAGGGGGGTTGCGAGGCATGTGATCAGTTTGTGGACATTCTTCTGATTGGCTGGTGGCGAGGTAATTGGGAGTCAGCATCTTCAGCCTTCTGGTTCCAGCTTATCTGGGGTCTACGTGCTTGTGGGCAGCATATAGTTAACTTCTTCCATCTGGTGGGAGTTTCAGTTTCTGCAACAGCTCAAAGAACATGACTCAGAATGTCACCTATAGTCCTTGAGGGAGAACTAATGGTCCTTAATTTTGTTGAATGGGTTAACTATTATTATTTTGTCTTGCTTGACTGTTTTCCTTTCTTCCTGCATTTCCTCAGTTCTCTGATTAAGTTTATTCTTTTTTGTAAAGTTTTTCTAAAGACAAAAAGCAGTCAGAGGACACTGGTAGGGGTCGATTCTGGAAAGGCCTCATAGGGCCCTGCTCGGTAGCAGTCCTGTACATGCGGGTACTTGATTCCCAAAGTAATGACATTTATCTCTGTACCCAGGGTGCACCACTCCTAACTTTACTCTGCAATGACCTCAGTGCCTTGTAACTGGATAATCTAACCTCTGACTGATGTGGGCTTTGAAAAATGTGTTGGGCTGCAGACCCAAGGAAGATTAGATACCACATAGGAAAACAGATTAACTAGTAAACTAATTAACTCTTTTTTAAAAATTTCTTTGAATATTTTATTATTTAATTTTTATTTTATATTGGAGTATAGTTGGTTTACAATATTGTATTAATTTCAGGTGTAAAGCAAAGTGAATACATAGACATATATCCATTCTTTTTTCAGATTCTTTTCCTATATAGGTTATTGCAAAGTATTAAGTAGAGTTCCCTGTGCTATACAATAGGCCCTTTTTGATTATCTATCTTAAATATAGTAGTGTGTTTATGGGAGAAGGCAACGGCAACCCACTCCAATACTCTTGCCTGGAAAATCCCATGGACGGAGGAGCCTGATGGGCTGCAGTCCATGGGGTCGCTAAGAGTCAGGCACGACTGAGCGACTTCACTTTCACTTTTCACTTTCATGCATTGGAGAAGGAAATGGCAACCCACTCCAGTGTTCTTGCCTGGAGAATCCCAGGGCCGGGGAAGCCTGGTGGGCTGCCATCTCTAGGGTCGCACAGAGTCGGACACGACTGAAGTGACTTAGCAGTAGCAGCAGCAGTGTGTTTGTGACAATTAACTTTTTCAACTGAGCATTCATTGTGTTATTAGCATATTGGCCAGAGATTGTGACTCTGTGTGTGTGTGTGTGTGTGTGTGTGTGTGTGTGAGATCAGTATGTAGGCATTGTTACATGTTCACATGTTTTAATAATATAAATAATTAACAACTTAACTGTACTCATTTTGTTGGAATGTGTTCCTTGGATTCTGGGACCCCTTAGAAGGAAATAGAAACATGGACTCCACTACTGGGGCCAGCGCAGAGTGAGTTATTTGTGTTGCTGAAACATATTGGGAAGGATAAGAGGAGCAAGAGCGATGTGGACTCAGGAACTTGAGGATGGTCCTTACGTGGAAGGAGAGGAAGGCTTGGGAAAGTGGCAGGGCAGGGGGACAGGAGTGGTGTGCAGAGAAACAACAATACGCCAGGAGCAGTGATCTGGCACATCTTCCAGAAGAAGGGAAAGATGCTGTCCAAGGGAAATAAAGAGGGTTTATTCCCTGCAGCCAGGAGTTGGACAATGGCTCTGGCTTTCACCGATTCAATGGACATGAATTTGAGCAAACTCCAGGATATGGTGAAGGACAGGGGAGCCTGGCGCGCTGCAGTCCATGGGGTAACAAAGAGTTGGACACCACTTAGCAACTGAAGAACAACAACTGGCTTTCAGAGAGATGACAAACCACGATGACTCGGCTCACAAGATCTCTGTTTTCTGTGCAGATTTACTCATCTGAGAAACAGGGGATGTCCCAGCCCTGGTGAAAAAAACAAACCAGGTGCGGCCAGAGAAAACGAGCTGCTGATTCAGACGCTGGGGGAAGGAAAGACCGGATGGTTTCTGGCTCCTTCTTCCGCATTCCAGCCTTGGGTTCCCTTCTGCCCTGTGCAAGACTCTAGGTGCCTGGCCTGCCCTGCAGCCTGACCTGGAAAACTCCTCTGTGAGGCAGATCAGATTCATTCAGCGACCTGAAGGCACAACACCTTCTCGGTTTTCTCTCCAGAAGCACAGTCTGAGGTGTGGCCTCCACACGGACCGCAGATTGGAAATGTCAGCTCACGTGGGAACGGGCACCTCAAGTTCGTCTGGTCCTACGTTGCAGAGTTGAGCTTGGATTCCGTTCCCCCTGATCTCTTTCCTCTTCCCCCTGTCCTACTTTCTCCCGTGGCTGCAAGCAGTTTTTCCATTTCATCCTGCAGACATGTGAGGCCACTCACTCCCCAACCCGACCCTCCCACACATCTGGAAGAGCCATGTCCACATCTGGACTCCATCCTCATCTGGGAGATCTCTTTCGACATTCTTTTCTTTGAAACTCAATCCGTGTAACCTCTTGCTCAAAGGGCCTCTGAACCACTGGAATCGTTTGCACAGGCTCAGGAAGAAGGCTTTAGAAGCAGCCCTATGTGGTGGAATTTATGATTCAAACCAAATCCAACATGATGCTTCTGATGGCCTTTTTTTTTTTCTCCATAGTAATTAGTTTTTCTTAGCTTCATACTGAAAAGGACTGAAAGTCTAGCCTCAGTCACATATGAAAGGAAGGTGGGAGTGAATGCTGGGCCATCAGAAGGGTAAGTAGAGTTTAGCAGATCTGTGACCTTGAATGAGATAGTTATTTCCTCATCCATAAAACGGAGGCTTATTGTTTAAAATGAGATTAATAATCCCAATTTGTTACCCCCTAGGATTCTGCAAGGATGAGGTGGGAGAACGAATCTGAGCATGCGTGGTCGGGGGAACTTGGGAAAGATCAGGGCAGATGGAGAAAGGAGAGACTGACTGTGCTTTTGCACACAGACTTCTCCATAAATCCATAGAAGACCCCAAGTCTATGGCTCTGTGATGCTCCACTGACTAGGGAAAGGCAGGATTCTGTGGGACACCAGTCCCATTGTCAGCCAGGTGCCCTCACTCTAACCAAACTGACAGTAAGATCTGATCCGAGTCTCAAACTTAACGTGCACACAAACGACCCAGCGATTCTGACAAAAGGCAGATTCTGGGTCACAGGTCTGGAGTGGGACTGAGGTTTGCATTTCTAACAAGCTCTCAGATGATTCCTCTGCTGCCGGTCCCCAGGTCAAATTTTGAATGACATGGTAATAGGGAGGTGGATCCCCAATCCTCAAATGCCACCTCTACTAACAAGTGAGTTTGTCATTTTTGCAGAGTCAAGGGCAGGAGAAGCCTGGAGGGAAATGAACACATTCCTGAAATGCACAAAGACCTGTTCAGCTCAATTTCAATCCTCTCTGCCGGAAGGCTAGGAACCTTATAGCCTCTTGGGTGTGAAGGGAAAGCTACCTACTTCACACCACTCCCTGCCTTCGAATATTTCCCCTCCTGAGTCAGGTTCATGCCTAGAGGAGAGAATGCCACGGCCATGGATGACTGCCTTTGACCTTCAGCATGTTGCCCAACTCCCAGAGTTCCTTACCTGGGCACTTCCAACCAAACTCTCTTGACCCTGAGCTATGTTGCCTAGCAACCAGAGGCAGGAGAAAGACAAGGAGGTAGGTAAAGAAGTCAGGGAGGAAATCGTGGTAACTGGGGAGACAGGGCTGAAACCATCTGAGAGCTCCTAGCCACACAGACACCCACACCCAGCACGTGGAATGTTAATTAGTCTCAGAGGAAGGGCACCCCTGGGTGTGAACCTAGAAAGCAGGAGGCCAGAAGTTTACAAACACTCATTCTTTCCATTATATTATTTTAAAGCTATTAATAATAAAAGAAGAAGAGAGAAAAAATCCTACTTCTTAGATGTGTTGGCAAGACAGGAGGAAAAAACTGAAAAACTGCTTATAAAAACCAGGGGAACCATTCAAGGGTGTGGAGGGGGTGCAGAGAAGTTGGTTAAAAATCCCATATGAAAAACTAAAACATGGCTTTAAAAGTAGCCAAAAAAATAGTTTATAGGAAGGTCTAAAAAGCTGAACTGAGACGCTGCCCAGGCGTGGGCTTCTAGCGCTTCCCGGGGGTGGAGGGGCTGCAATTCCACGAGGCCACCCTGCCGCCCCCAACAGGAGCTCCATCAGTGCATCCCGGGGCCAAGACCATCCAACCAGAGAGAGGGCACTGAACCGCAGACAGCAGCAGGCCCGGGCGGCAGCTAACGTGGCAGGAGGACTTTTGATTCCAGTCGCTCGTATGGAACTTCAGTTTCCTCCCAGGATGAAAGCCTTCATTCAGACCCGTAGACGGTTGTACCCGGCGCTGCTCCCGTCCTCCATCCTCCGGCTTCCTGCCTTCCCATACTCAGCGCCTGTTTCACATCGCAATAAGGATGCGCCTCCTAGAACACAGATGGAATCACGCGGCTCAAAAACTTTTCATCGTTCTGTTGCCAACAAAGGAAATTCCAATCTATTTAGCGTGGCATTCGATGCTTTTCACAGCCCTGCCCTGGTCTGCTTTTCCAGAGTCATCTCCAGCTTCTCCTACTTGCCCCCAACCCTCCTCCAGTTCAGTCCCTTAAGACATACTGACCTCCCCCAAGCCACGAACGTTTTACTCTTCCGGGCCTTTGTGCCTTGCTGTAATTCCTCATTTGGTTTATCATCAAAACAAGCCCTATTCATTCTTTTTAAAATACAAAGAAACAGGGACTTCCCTGGTGGTCTAGTACGGAAGACTCCATGCTCCCAATGCAAAGGGTCCAGGTTCCATCCATGGTCAGGGAACAAGACCCCACATGCTTCAACTAAGAGTCTCGCATGCTACAACTAAGACCTGGTGCAGCCAAATAAATTACTTAAATATTTTTTTAAAATACACAGCAAAAAAATGTTTGATTTTCAAAGGAATACGTGCACATGATTAATTTAATCTCTTCCCTTTGCCCCTGAACTCCCTCAATGAAACCACCTTTCACTCTTTAAAATTTTCTCTCCTTGTGGTTACCTTAATTTCTCTGAGAACTATTTTTGGATTTCTAGAAAGTCATTTCTTAATTTAGCAATTTTGCGTAACTTTTTTTTTTGCATTCTGACTCTACTAAGAGTGGTGGTTAGCACACACGACACATACTAAAATTTTTATTTTCCTGGTGGAAACCATAAATCACTTTAAGTTACGAGAAGAAGCAACATAAGATTAAAAAAAAGTAAGCATTCACTCTCTGAAGTTAGACTAATTGGGTCCAGATCACCAGCTTCAACTGACTTAACACTTCTGTGTTTATGATGTCTTTATAAATGGCAGAAAATACAAATCCGAATTTCCTTCAGCTGTAAAATCTGTACTGATATCTCGTTAGACCTACAGCAAAAATGTCATCTACATTTCCTTTCCCTCCTGTCCAAGTTGCAGGTACTGCTTCCAGAATCCTACGTCTCCTTCTGGCTTACTTTACTCTCTCTTTTTGCAGAGCTGTATCCTCAAATGACTTCCTTCAAAGATGTGTAGAATCAAGCCTTTTTAACACTGCATTTGTCTGAAAATGTCTTTTCTTCTGCCTTCAAAATTCACAATTATTTTTCCTGGATATAGAATTCTAGTGAAAAGGAGCTTTCCTTCATAATATGAAGCATTCCATTACAGTCTATCATCTAGAGTTGCTCATAAGCCTTCGGTGCCCATTTATTTGTGGGTTGTTGTTTTTTTCTTCATTTCTCTCCCTGTCTCTGTCTCTGTCCCTCTCTGAAAGCACTTAAGATCTCTCTTTTAATATCAACATTCCAAATTTTTAAATGATACTTGTGCTATCTTTTATTCATTATGGTGGGGAGTAGGTAGACCCTTCTGTCTTAACTTTTATATCCTTCAACCCTGGAAAATTCTCTTGTAATATTTCTCTGTAATTCCTTCTGGCATATTTTTCTTTTGGATCGTTCATCAGCTGGATATTGAGGCCCCGGGTTATTTTAAATGTTTTTGTTGTTGTTGATCATTTTATACTCTTTTTCTTTTGGTTTTCTCTATTTTATCTTCCAACATTTTAATTAGCATTTTCATAGCATCTTCTTGTTTAATTAATGTGGTGTCATAAATGTCTCTGAGGATACAAATTCATTTCTCTCAAGCTCCTTATTTAGCCTGAATTATCTCTTGTGTTCCTATGAGATTATTTCTCTATTCCACAATGTTTCCTTTTCACGTATCACAATTCCCTCAAGGATATAGTCACTGGTGGAATTATTAAAGCTGACTCTGAACTCAATGTGGCACTGTTGGCTATTGGGTTCCATCTCAAGGTGAATGGAAACGGAGCCCAGATGTGGCATTAGTTCCCACATGAAGAACAGGTTGTTCGTTTTCTTTAGACAGGGATGAACCTGTGGTTTCGAACACAAGTTTGTGTGCCCTATGCTCAGTGAGGCCAAACAAATGGGAACCTCAAAATTTGGGGCCCAATATTCTACTGGAGATCAGTGGAGAAATAACTCCAGAAAGAATGAAGAGACAGAGTCAAAGCAAAAACAGCACCCAGTTGTGGATGTGACTGATGATAGAAGCAAAGTCCAATGCTGTAACAAGCAATATTGCATAGGAACCTGGAACGTTAGGTCAATGAATCAAGGCAAATTGAAAGTGGTCAAACAAGAGC